TAAGACTATATAAAATGTAATCATACTGAGTATAAATATAACTTGTCTTCATGACTTACAATTACCTAAATATTTTAGACTACAGACTAAACCTATTGCTTTTTTCTGAGATACTAAGGTCCCCGAATCGAGACTTTGCAACTGACACTGACGACGGCACAAATATTTCAATTAACTGACAATTGCTTGACCGAAAATGAAGCCCACTGAACTCACTCCCTAAGCCCCTGAGAAATCAAGAAATCGGTAACAGCTGAGGAACTGTCTTCGAATGTCAGCAAAACTTTGAGAGAGACAACGAACGAGGCAGACGACATCCGCTGGCGAAATGCGATAAAATGCAAATCTCTCTTGATGTTAAAAGGACGCCAGCCAACAATTCAAATCCAAAAACGAAACCAAAATCATGGATACCGAGATTCCAAGCCAAAAATCCAAGTTCAAGCGACAAAACAATGGCAGCAGAAATGGCTTTGCTTGTTGCAATGTTGCTGCTGTTGCTGCTGTTGCCGTTGCAATGTTGCCGTTGGTGGCACATCAATGTCAAAGGCATCGACAGTGGTGCTGGGGGTGGTGGTGCGGTGGTTTCTCAGAGGCCAGCAGACAGGAGACGGGCTAATCTTCATCAGCCGCCGTTTGTAGTTGGCGCAAAGTGTAAGCTCACACAAATCTCCAGAGAAAGAGACGCAAAAAATCTCGGAGAAAGGGTGAAGAAAAGCGGCAGGGAAATGGATGTAGGAAGATGGATGCAGCTTTATCTGCTCAATAGATGGACATTTGGATAGATTGTTCTTGTTTGGCTTTGACGTTCGCCAGCAGACTTCTCCCCCTTACAAAGGCCCTCATTTCTCCGGATCCAAAGTTGCATTATGAGATTCTATCATCGCTTCGTCGGTGTGTGTCCAAATTGTTTGGCCACAGTAGCAGATGCTTCTTCTTTTGTTCCTGATCAACACAGAAAGAAATATTGGAAATTGTACTGATTACAAAGGTCCATCAATGGTCCGGACTTGAGTGACTTAACTATAATTATCCTGCGAACTTTCAAACAATTTAAGTTGCGGTTTACTAAGCTTATTTTGTCTCCTTTTTGCATCTGTAGTGATATTTAGAATAATTTTGGTATAAGTCACATAGAAGTAAAGCAATTTTTAGTTTCATTTTAGTATTATTTAGTATTTTCATTTTATTATCCTTGTAATTCTAATTGTTGGAATATTATAATTGTTTGATTTAATAATATTTAAAGCAATTTAGGTTAATCTAAGGTTTAACTAAAATATTATTTCAAAAAATATATATGAGATTGCCTTTAAAAAACTATAGTCGATTAAATAAATTTTAAATTTCCCTTTGAATTTCATATTTTTTCGCTGTGCAGCCTTCAATAGCAGCTGAAAAAGAACAACTATGATTATATTTTAATGGCTACTTTTGTTGCAGTATTTGGATTGGATTGGGTTCTTTGAGTGGATAGATAGATGGATGGCTGTGTGCTGGCTGGTTGTTCGGTTTGGTGGATGATTCTATTGCCATTATGGCGGCGAATGCGCTTGTTCCATTATGCGGTGTTTGCTTGTCAGTCTCAAATGGATTCGGGATCTTGGACTTGAGGATCAGCGAGGAAATACAAGCTTTTTGACTGCGATTGGCCTCATCTTTGGTGGGTTCATGCTTTTATTTTGTTTGGTTTTTGTCGGCGCCAGTGCAGTCTACAAACGTATTAAATTACATTTGGCGTCTGGTGAGCTTGATTTTTTTTTATTATAACCGTCGGTGCTTTTGTTCAGGGTTTGTCAGTCTCGCGCAGCTCCTCCCACATTAAACGGAAACGGAAATGGACAGCTTTGATCTTGGGAGGAGAAAAGGAACGCAGGAGGCTTCCTTCGTTCGTAAAAATCTGTTTATTGTGTTCTCTTCATGTCCCAATCATTTCCAATCAAGTTGGCAATTAGCAATGGCCATTTCATTCCCCTATAACCCATTCTCGCATTCATTTCGTGGCAGCAATTATTTTCGCATTTGTTGGCCACTTGTGAATGCTAATGCCAATGATCCGGCACTGAAATCGTAATCGGCAATGGGAATGGGTTTCTTGTATGAATAAGGAGAGGGAATGAACCTCGGAACGAGCTTATTAGTGCAGCCATTGCCATTGGCATAACTTTGGACAATAAAACGCAGTCGGGACAGAGACTTCAAAGGATTCAAAAGTGTTAAACTGACATGCGAGATCAGAGGCAGGCGCAGTCAGGAAAGATGGCAAAGACGGGGATTGGAAGGTTTTACAGAGACAAGGATGCGATTGGGGCGGTTGAAAATGCTGGCATCCATAACTCAACACTACGAGAAATTATTTAATCTACTGGAAACTAAAAATGAAAAATGGTTAATTAATTAATGGTATACAAATTTAAATTGAATTAAGCGTATAGATGATTTGACGGGAAGTTTGCATACAGAATTGTTTCGGATGAGTCAGATGTTACTCCCCTAATAATATTTTCCTTGTTTGTTAATAGCTAATACATGTAATCAATGGTATTGCTAACAAATACACAAAACAGTATTTCATTGCCTGTAGACATTCTAAAAAATTCTATGGAAGTTCGATAAAGATTCGGTAATTTGTAAAACTTACACCATAGTTTTTCTAAGTGGGTTGAGTTTAGCACCGATGACGGACCTAAAGTCCAGCGGTTGGGATTGGGGTTGTCGACTTGTACAGTGCCCCGCCAGTCAGTTTAGCGTCAGCCCCTCTGCTCGACGCCCCTGCCTGGCAAAACTGACACTTGCAATGAAGACATTAGCTGCTAATGGAATTGTTATTAAGCCCCAGAAGCGCGCCTCTGGAAAAAATCTGCGAGCGGAAAAGATACAGAGCCAACCGCAGATCTGAAGAAAGGCTCAAGTTGATAGGCTGTGCATGCGTTTTTTGCGTTTTCGCTCTCGCTGCTGCATCTTTAATTTGAATTTCGTATGTGGGATTAGGTCCTTCCTCTGATTCGCCGTGCAGTAATCACTTTATTGTGAGCTTGATGTATTGACAAATTATAAAAACATAAGACGGTCAGGGTAAGGTGAGAGAGACTGTGGAGATATACAACTGAATTGAGCCTTAACACGCATTCCGCAAATCACTTATTTTGCAATCAGAGAAGAATCCAGCTTTACTGGCTTCGGCTAGCTACACTTGCACCACCACCTGGCCCTTTGAAAGTGGGCAGGGCCCTTGACTTTGGTGGCGGAGCTGTCGAAGTCCCGATTTGACAGGCCTAGTGAAAAATGCCCGGCCCTAGAACAATGCCAAGGTTCGATCTACGTGCGCATACTTGGCAAGCCACTTAAATGGCTTTAAAAATAAACCGAGCCAGGGCCACAGCTCAAGCCAATTCACACAGGCAAAAATAAAAATAAGAAATAATTTTTTTATTAATTTTTTATTTTATTAATCAGAATCTTTATTTACAAATCTTTTTATCAAAAAATACGCTAAGGGTATTCAAATAAAATGCTTTCTAACGAAAGAGTGCTCCCTGTTTTTAACGACTTCAAAGATTTGTTATTTTGTTCAGTGCATTCAGGACTTGGGCTTAACCTGAGCCTTTTGCCTTTTCCGGCTAGGGCCCATAACAAATTAAAGCTTTTCACTTTCCATCTTTGTTGTTGTCTGGTGTGTACACACCCCGAAAAATGCGTAGCCTAAATGAATACCTAGGCAGCGCCAACAACCCATAATCATAATCATCATCATCATCGTTGTCGGTCGTTGTTGTTGTTTCCATTGCTTGTGGTTTCTTTGCCTCCATTCCTGGCGAATCCACATCCAGGTGGCTCCGTCGTTATTTGTATTTGCTGTAATATGAATTGACTGCGACTAATTATAACCACGAGCGTTTAGATGCTCTCCTTTCGACTATGGATAACTTGCGTTGCTGTGAAATGTGGCCGAAAAAATAAAAAACCGGAAAAAAAGCTTATTTTGTTAAAGTTGATATACCCTTGGAGCTAATGTTTTGTAAAACGACAACTACAAAACGTACATCAAAATTCTTTTGATTTTGGTAAAAATTTAAATAAAAAGGACAAGCCTTTGGCATTTTTTTGTTTTTATATATATTTTTTCATATTTATAAATTAATAGAAAATCTACTAGGGTCATCTTCGAACTAACAATTTAAACAATTATAAAACACAAATTGGGTCTAAAAAGCTATTACAGATTTTCACTAATTTTCGAAATATTTTCGAAAAGGTATGAAAAAGAAGAAAAACAAATTTGAGCAGTTCCCAGGTCCGTTGTTGATCTGCTACAATTGATACGAGCGCGAGTTGAAGACTGGCAAATGGAAATAACTCAACTGGACCCCATGATCGAGAGCCCCGAGACTAAGACTCAGAGTGAGGCTGTGACTTGGGTTGGGACTGAGGCAAATAATGATAATGACGACAGGCAAGGGCGCTCGACGGGTATGTGGGGTGATGATCCAAGGCAGAGGTGTGGTGCAGGCCAGAAATCAGCAACAAATAAATGAGTTCATGCAACGTCTTTGAAATGAAGACAAAGTGGATGTCGGTTCTCGGTTGTTTTGGATTGTGGTTGCCGATCCAACGATCTTCTTGTGCCTGCGAACTGATGCTGGGCAATGTCTGCAGAGTGTCTAGATGAGCAAGCAAGAGGCCACATCCTATCGGATCCAGAAGTCCAAATCAATATTTTGTGTGTTATGTGCATTTTACAAAAAATGTAGCCAACTACTACACCGAGTTTCTTCTCTTAAATAAATAGGATTTCATAATTCATGATGTATCGAATATATATATTTTTTTAATTTACTATGTTCACTGTGTAAACAATTTCCCTGTTACTGCTCAAATCTTGCTTTTTGAAATCCCGAAGCGAAGAAAAATTTAAAGAGTTCTACAACCATTCATTTTTTCCAATTTTGAACCAAAGGCTAAATAATAACAAATTTGAGGGCATTTTTCGTTTTTTCATTTCGGTTTATTTTGTTTTTTTAAATATTTATTCTCTTGCTTTCGTTTAGCTATTACAAACTATGGGCTTAGCAACTAGAGGATTCTTAGATTGGTGAACATTTTTACAGCTTTTTGCTAGAACGTAAGAAATTACACAAGTAGCATCACACACAAGTGAACATACACTACGATTTTTAGCTCGGCATGTACATCTATATAATAACTGGTAACTAGGCTATACTTAAAAAGATTCCTCCTTCGCTCCATTCGTCGATCCTCCGTTGGTACGTTCCCATTTTATTTCGGTTTTATACAAGGGTTTCCTTTCTTTCTCCCCGATGATTACTTAAAACAACTTTTTACAATTTTCCCCTTCTCACCGCGGATTGGTTTTGGAAATGTGAATCGCAGCCTGATCCCCCTTAAACAGGGATTGCCGGCTGCTTAAGTGCACTTGGATTGCTCCTATAAAACTAGTTTTAGGTTAGTCCAACGCTACATACAGCTACAGTTACAGATACTTATATGTGATACTTAGGCTACAGATACAGATTCGAGCGAATTCGGTTCAAGTTCAGCTGCTAGTCTAGGCTCTAAATGCTTACAACTTATGGCTGTTCTGGCTCCTGCTGCTCCTCGCTTTTTGGCTTTGTGTGCAAGCAAGTGAGTTTCAGAGAGTCTTGTTGGCTTTGTGGTGGTTACTGCGATTTCAATACATCCGTTCCCCAATGTACAACAGAAGAGATACTATATTTGAATTTGGCGAAAACTTTTTAACTGGCTTTCCGTTAGAACTATCCGTCGTTGCGCAGGACCCTTTAAACCAAATCGCATGTCAGACATTTTGAAGTAACATAATTTGTATAGATTCAGAGATTTACAATATACCTACGTACTAATAATTTTCTTTACACGCTCGGTGAGGCATTTTTGCATTACAATCCTAACTTAAAGTATTTATGTAATATGTACAGCAATTTTTAATGGGCGTGAGTGTTTCGATATGTACTTATGTGTTTGGGTATGGGTGAGTCGGGGTGATGCAAGTAATACTATATGCATGTACAGCTGCAATCCTCGCTTACATCCTCGTGCCCACATTTCCCCTCTGACTGGGCTGAGGGGCGTGGCCGTGACGTGGCAGTGAGACATGTGGCAGGTGCGTGGGTGGCCCCGCTCCCAGAGGCGAAATGGATGGTGATCTCGTGGCCAAGGGCGATAGAGATGGTGAGAACGATGGTGACATCGCCGAAGAGGTGCTGAAACTGCCGCTCGCCTCATGGCCAATGGGCGATCGTGGCAAATGGGCGGGGGCCAGGCTTAAATGGGGTGGCAGTCTCATCGGCAGGTTGATGGCCCTCGGCGCCACATTTGTGAGTAGTGGGGGTGGTATGTGGGTCGGTGGTGCTAAGGGTGGCGGTTTGAGCACCACACTTCCCGTTCCCGCTGAGGAGTGAGAAGAGGAGTGCTTGCTTTTGGCGGATGACGAAGCCCCACTGTGTCCACTGTGCTCCGATATGGTATCATCTTTTAGTCTCGCTATTTCGGAAAACACATGCGCCAGTGGCTGATATTGAGGTCCCCAGTCGAGGAGGTAATCCCAGTTGTAGCTGCCCGTCAGTTCCTCCTCGCTGTGGACTATAGAACTGAGGGACCCACCCACATTACTACCTCCAACAACTACGGGCACTGGAACCGGAACCTCTCCATAACTGCTCATCACACCGTGACCATGGGTGATGGCAGTACCGATGGTTCCTATCGAGCCCGCCGTAGTTCCTGCTTCATCTGCACTGCTTCCTCTTTCCGAACCCGCTCCTGTCACATCATTGAGTTTGGCGTAGATCAGGTTGGTTATATCCGATCTTGTGGTGGCATCTTCATCGTGGAACATGTGCATCGGATGACTGGAACCAGCCATGCTGGACGCTCCCCCACCTCCACCGCTGGGATCGTGGTCTACGATGCCCAGACGAGCCAAGTACTCCTGGGTGTCCTGAACAGAGATATCCGAGATCCTGCCATCATCACTGCCTGCGCCAGCCCCTCCATTTCGGTGATGCAGTGGTCCCTCGTTTATCATACGGATCTCCTCATCCTCTCCATCATCCTCCGCCGATCCTCGGCCGCTGGAACCGGACTGTTCAGAGCCAGATAGCTCGGAGGTTGTGGCTGCGCCGGAACTTCCAGCATGAGGTCCAAAGGGAGGAATCTCATCGTATTTAGGAGGGGCGAATTGACCTGAAGCTGCTCCCGCCGCACCACCTGTAATGCCTCCTCTGATGGGTATTGTGTCAAAGGCACTGGGATCCACATAACTATTGGAATTGCCCACGCCGACAGTCTCCGTGCTGAGATGAGGCTTGACCACATTCCGTGGCTTCCGACTTCGCATGTGCATGAACAGAAAGATTCCGGCGGCAGCACAAAGCACTAGGAGAAATGCCACCAGTAAACCAATTGCCCAATCGCCCATGGAGCCACCCGACGCGGCACCAGCACTGGCCAGATTTGTGCCTGGATGGGCCAAAGGATCCAAGGCAATCTCGATAACTGCCATGCTGGACAAAGAGTTGTGGCGTCCTGAAGAGGCTGACATAACCAGGCTGATATCCCGACCATCCATGTACAGATTGCCATCTCCGTCGCCATCCAGTTTGAGCTTTCTTTTGATAAGAACAGCACCACTGCTGCGGTTAACCTTGAAGTGCGAGTGTGGAGCACTTAGTTGGTAAACCACTCTGCCATCTGGACCACTGTCACCATCGGTTGCGGTGACTTGACCCACTACGAAGCCTTGTGGAAGAGCCACCGCTGCCGGCAGCACAAATCTGTAGGTGCGCTCTGTGAACTGTGGAGTGAACTCATCCCTGGACTCGATCTCCACTCGCACAGCCACTCTAGCCCTCTTGCCACCCATATCGGAGGCTTGAAGTTCCAGATCATACCGCAGCCGTTGCTCGTAGTCAAACACGGAAGCGGATGTTACCAAACCGGTTTCAGGATCCACACGGAACAGTTTCCACGAGCTTTCGTCGCTGGGAGCAGGCGCAATGCTATAGTTCAGCTGTCCAAAGGGTCCCTTATCCAGATCACTGGCGTGAGCACGGAATACAGAGCTGCCGACGGGTTCGTTTTCGGCTAGGAAGTGAACATATTCGGAGAGCGGAAACTTGGGTTCGTTGTCGTTTTCATCGTGGAGCTCCAATCTAAAGGGTTGCAAGCTGCAAAGAGGTCTTGTATGATGGCTATCGCAAGCTCGGATAATAAGCTCATAGCTTTTGGCCCCTGAATCGTAATCCAATTGATTGTTTACAAAAAGTACACCACTAACAAGATCTATTGTAAACATGTGCTCATCATTGCCGGAGGTTATGTCGTACACCACTTCTGAGTTCGGGGTGTTCTCCTGATCAGCATCAATAGCCTGTAGTTGAGCTATGGAATATCGCAAAGGAGCCAATTCGCTTATCTCAGCCTCGTATTTGGCACTGCGATCGAAAATTGGGAAGTTATCGTTGCCATCCAATACTGTAATGATAACCGAGATTCCAGAAGTTGAATTCGAGCTGGCAGAAGGTGCAGATCCATGTGGATGGCTTAAAACCAATCGGAGCTTGTACAGATCATTGCGTTCTCTATCCAAAGATTTAACTAAAACAATTGTTTTAGACTGTAGCAATTCAAAATTGGATTCTTCATTTCCAGAGACAATGACAAATGCTTGATCGAGAACATCCTGTCCCAGTTGGAGAACAACTGAGCCCAATGGAGCTGCCTCGCTGATCTGGGCCCTATATTGATTTTGCTGAAATTGCGAACGTCCTGAGCCATTGTCACTAGCCTGAACTCTCAAAAGAGTTGAACCTTTCATCACTGGTTTTCCTGCATCCTTGGCTACAATTCTAACGAAGTAATCCCCGCTGGAGGAAGCTGCAGGCTGTAATCTACTCATGTTGACCGAAACAACACCACTTGATGGGTGTACAGAGAAGCCTTCCAAGGCTGGTTCAATTGAGTAAATAATCTGGGAGTTGCTGCCCTCCGAATCTGCGTCAGTGGCATTAACTGTAAGGAGCTCTAAGTCGGTGGAAAGACTATCACTGATATCAGCCTTAGCTGGCATAATGGCAAAGTAAGCCGGGGGCTGTTTGGCCAGGAATACCGGCGCATTATCGTTTTCGTCATGCACTCGAATAGTTAAGATAGTGCGAGCTTCATGGGATGCATCTGAAGCAATCACCTCAAGTTCAAATTCCTGCTGCAGTTCATAGTCCAAACGATGTTTCAGGACGAGCTTTCCGCTATATCGATCTAAGGCAAATATGGACAGGTTCTCTATTTCCAAGGTTGATTCGCTACCAAGGCGATAAGTCAGTGCGGGATAAGTGTCCACATCGTTGGCTGAAATGGAGGTTATAACAGCTCCAAGTTCAGTGGCTGGAAAAAAAGAAGAGCAAAATGGGGAAGAAAAATATTAAACATTATGATTGTGTCTATCAATGCTATTTAAGGGAAATAACTTTATATGTCGCTAAGTTATAATATTTTAAAAGTTTTGAAACTAAACTTACCTTCACTAACAGTGACGAGATTGTTTGGGGGAAAAGTGGGCTGGTTATCATTCACATCGACTATCTGGACTCTGATAGTGGCAGTGCCCGTCATCTGGGGGACACCCTCGTCAGTAGCGATGATCTTGAGCTTGTAGATGTCGCGAATCTCCCGATCCAACACGATATTGGTCTTCACTATGCCACTAAACGCCGGTTCAATGACGAATGCATTATCGTGGTTGCCATCAACGATATGATATCTCAGTCGAGCGTTGGAACCCGCATCCGAATCGAAAGCCTGAACCTGGGCCACGAAGGTTCCTTTGCTATTTCCCTCTTCAACGGCTGCCACAAATTGCTTTTGCGAAAACTGCGGACTGTTGTCGTTCTCGTCTTCCAGCTCGATCACCAATTCTGAGTAGGTGGCAAGGAATGGAGCATCAGTGCTGCGAGCTACCAGCACCACATGTATTTCATTGGGTTGGCTGTTGGTCAGGGCAAAGGATGAGGAAGTCAAGGCCCTTTGGGATCGGGTGACATTACTCGTATGGTCCTCCGATGATTCGTCCATTTCGTCCTCATAGTGCAGAGATCTTCCACGATTTAAGGCTGACATTGAGGGCGTGACAAAGCGATCGTAATCAAGAAGGTGGGGCTTATTCACCCTTATGTCCCCTGACAGGGCATCTAAGGACAAAATGCCGTCCTCATTACCAGCACCAAACGAGAATTGCACCTTTTGGCGACGACCATCGCTTCGGAGTGCCACAACTTGGAGAAGTTTTGTGCCCGATGGAGAATTCTCCATGATTTTTACTCTATATGTTTCGTTTTGGAAACGGAGAACAGGCGTTCCTTGGGGCGCTTCACCTATTAAGATTTCAACGAGACCCAGACTGGACTGAGGGGGATTTCCCTTATCCCGGGCAATCACCTCCAGTTGCAGAAGTTTTCCAGACTCACTGGCCAAACTCTGTGAGGCACTCAAAGCTCCCGTGGTGGGATTAACTCGAAACTTTCCACTTACTGCTGAGTTTTCCGCCTTGAGGGAATACATAACCTCACCGTTCGCTCCAAAATCGGCATCATGGGCTTGAACCTTGAGCAATGTTTGACCAGGTTGAATAAGAGCTGGGACCTGCCCTATATAGGGATATCGCTCGAATACGGGTCTGTTGTCATTAACATCCAGCACGTTGATCTGCACCGGAACCGCAGCTGATCTAACCGCATAACGTCCTCCGTCCGTTGCCAAAACCATGAAGCTGTAGCTCGCTTGCAGCTCACGATCCAGTTTTCTGTTAGAAAAAGGGGAGAGTCAGAGGGGAAACGATTCAATTAATGGCCTGAGCACGATCAGTCGGCGATGGGCGCCGCTTGCGACACTAATTAGGTATCTCTGGGAGCCTGCACTCTTACATACAAAATATAATCGTAATCACACCGACAATTAGCCACACGAAATGATTCGCAATGGATATATATTCAGCAAGAAAGGGACGAGTTCTGACAAGGTGGCTTGCACTGAAAGAAAAGCCCTAGCTCGATCTTGAAAAATCTTAATATCATTATTTTGAAACGCTATAATTCCCGAAAGGGTTTTTAGTGTTGGATTGAAATTGGTAATGTTCACATTTGATATTGATGATTAAGTCTGAAATCTAAACTTTAATTCCATTTTAACACCATTTCGCGCAGTGCATAAGGCTGGGGGGGCTGAGTGGTAATTAAGTCATTTGTTTGTGGTCTTCCCACTGGAGAAGCACACTCGCATTAGCATTCACTCGGTTGGAGTTGGCTTGATCTGCGGCCTCAGTTGACTCGTCTTCTTGGCCAGAAAACTAATCCGGGCAGTCGGGACGACCTGCCTATCGCTATCACGCGGCTTTCGAGCTCCCCTGGAACATGTTTGCTGCCACAAATAATAAACCTAAATGATTACAATCCTTCGTAGTTGCAGTTAAAGTCGCTGCAGACGGAAGGCAGTCGCCGCTGCCGCCGCCATTCCACTCCATTCCATTCCGCGCTTTCTTGTTGGCCAATAAAACGAATTTAGCAAATTACAAGCTCATCCCGGCAGAGAGCCATTTTATGAATTGAATCAGTCAAACTGAAGTAAGGGAACAGCAAGTTGGCTTGTCGAGTGCGCCTCGGTTATACCGTCTACGTCTACCTCCCCGTTTTTAGGCTGGATGTAAAACAACAGCAGAAAAGCTTTTAAGGGTCAGTCATCAGTAGAGGTAGTTGTTTTTGATCATCAGGCTAGAAGGGGTTGGGAAAGGGGTTGGAAATGAAGGACAGGCCGCGGCGAACAAGCCAAGTCTGGGATTGCACTGTGCGAAATTAAGCTTTAATAAATCTGAGAACTGATTTTAAACTTTAAATTAAATTAAAAAGCAATCATAAAAGACCCTCCATAGTTTTACATGATTAAATTCAAAGACATTTATCAACATTAAACACAAATAAAATGGTATGTTCTGTACAATTTGTATTATTTTAAAAATATTTTTTGGAGTGCAGTGGTTAGCCCTAAGCTCTTGACTCTACTGTCTTGTCCATCGCCAGTCAGTCAGCTAAGGCAGAAAAAAAAATAAAAACTAGCTACATTGGCCTGGACAAGCGGCCAGCGCATTTTTGTCTTTTTTCCCTGTTTTGTTTCTCGGCTGTGTGTAGACCGCAAAGGCAAGTTTAAGTCCAGGTCTGCGAGCAAATCCAAGACCAAGTTTCAATCCAGGCTCCGAGTTCCAAGCTCCCAGTACCGATTGCAAGTCCAAGTGCAAGTCCAAGACTAACAACAACGTCACGAATTGTCTCTTGGTCCGTCTGATTGTCTGCTCTACAATTCTGGTCTGTTTGCCATTACCTGTCCATGTGGAGCATCCGATCTTTATTCTTGATTCTGTTCATTTCTTTGTACTTTTTTTTTAGCTTTTCGGCGGTGGCGGGGATTTTGTTTTTATTGTTTGCCGACAATCAGCGAAAGATAAAAATTGGTACATGACAGCGGATCGCGTTTGTATAAATGGCAACACTGACGCTACTGTCATTTCGAGAGCCCCTGCCCGGGAACCCTTCCTCTTTATTCCTCCCTCCGAATCTTGATTCCCGTAAATACTCCTCCCCGATCTTCTTGGCCGGAACTGAGCAAGAGCTTTGTCAGACGGAACAAGCAATTGTTGTCATCATTGATTGTCAATAAGCATAAATTAGCACCAATGGGGCCAGAAAGTCCAGAAAGAAAATGCAGAGAGAGAAACACTCAATAGCAATTTACTAACAAAGGTGTTCCTAACCGATAAAATTATTTTTAGCAATTTTAAAGGAAACTATTTACATTTTTAAATTTCTGGGATTTTTAGAAAAATACTAGTATTTTTCTAACGTTTAGACCAACTATTTTCTTAATGTGCACATACAACGATCAAAGAGCACACATATAAGGACAAGGACGCATTGAGGATCCACGTTGAACTCCATTTCGAGTTGCAGCTCCACCTTAAGCTATTTATAGTAATGTCTGTAGGAGGAAAAGGGAAGTCAAGAGTAAGATGGAAGGGGCAGTGATGACAGGAGACGGATTCGCAACATTGTCGCTGGATGCGTAGGATGAAAAGATACCTCGGATACATCGATTTCCATGCCGAATTAGCTGAGGAAATTATGGCAATGTTTTTTTTGCCGTCCTTGCTTGAGATCGGACTTAGAGATAAGATCAAGCCAAGCAATGAACCAGAGATACCCAGGAGATCAACCAAGTGCAACCAACTAAAACTTACCCAACGGTGGTGATTAATCCGCTCTGGCTGTCGATGGCAAACTGCCATTGGGTTTCATTGGCCAGGGAGTAAACGAGTCTGGCATTCACGCCCAAATCTGCATCCAAGGCACTGATTTGCACCACACTTGTGCCCAACGGTGCGTCCTCCTGCACGCTGGCAATATATTTGCTTAGCTTGAATTTGGGCGCATTATCGTTCTGATCCTCAACAAAAACAGTGATGTTGCAGTGTCCCTGAAGACTCTTCGGTTGTCCGCGATCCGAGGCCTGAAGCTGCAGGATGTACATAGATTGCTGCTCCCTGTCCAAGGCTCGTACAGTCAGCTCTCCAGAACGGGCATCGATGCTGAATTTGTTGCCCTGATTGCCGCCTGTAATAAAGGGGAATATGATAATAGAACAATATGAATATGGGTTTTATATGTGAGCTTAATTACTTAACTACTTATTCATAATAGTTTTTTCCATTAATGCAACATTAGATTTTTATTGTCTTACCTGTTATGCTGTAAATAAGATCCGAGTTGGGACCTTCATCCAGATCGCTGGCGACCACAGTGTGAATAACACCCGGTTCACTGTTCTCTGGAACGGATAGACCATAACACGATCCAGGTTGGAATTCCGGTGGATTGTCGTTAACGTCTCCAATAGTTATGTAAACAGTGGCCACATCAAAGTGCTGTCCATTTGGCGTTTCGCTATTGCTGTCCGAGGAGCGCTGCTTTCTGACCGCCGAAGAGGACGCGGTGGCCAGGCGGTTGGCATCCCTAACGTAAACGGGGAGGACATAACTGTCCTGGGTCTCGCGATCAAACTGACCCCGGGTGGTAATAATTCCTCTTTGCCAGTCTACGTGAAAAAGATCATTGGCCACGCCAGTAGCAATTTCGTAGCTCAGGTTGGCTGTGGAAGAAAATATTGTATAAATAATGTTAGAATTGCGAAGAGATTGTTTAAAAATAATTTTAAATAGATAAATAATTGTATTTACAAGCAGGAATTTATGTCGAAATAATCAAAGCGTCTATCAAAAATCCTTACCATTTTCTCGACCGTGGAGTGATTTAGCAGTGACCTGCAGGACGAAACTTCCACTAGGAACATTCTCTAATATTGTGGCTCGATAAACAGCCTGCTGAAATCGGGGTGGATTATTGTGGCTACCTTGAACGATAAGCTGCAGATTTAAAAAGCTTCTTTTCGACTCCGGCTGACCATGATCTCTGGCACTGATGATGAGGCTAAACCGTCCATTTTTCTCAACATCCTCTGCGGCAGGAGGCAGGGATTTTATTAACTCAATAACTCCCGTTTGTGGATTGATTCTGAACCGACCCTCTCCATTTCCACCCGTAATTTCGTAGGTGAGGCGTCCATTATCGCCTGAATCCTCATCAATAGCCACAATATATGCCACAATCTCCCCAATTCTAGTTGAATCGGATATAAAAAGCGAGGCTGTTTTTTCGCCATTCGTATTCGGCGAAACAAACTGCGGGGCATTATCGTTGGCATCCAGAATACGTAATCTCACTGTCACCGATGTCTGTAGTCGCTCTGGGACATTCGAAGATTGATCCAATGCCTGGACAATGAGCAGGTACTCTTGCACAGCCTCAAAATCCAAGGGGGCCTGCAGACTGAGGGATCCTGTCAGGGAATCAAGGCTAAAAATCGGCATTGCCTGCTCCTGGCTTTCGTTTAGTTGTGGAAAGTATCGCAGCATGCGATACTGAAGTTCTCCATTGGTTCCCGTATCCGCATCCGTTGCCGTAAAGTTGTGGATTATTGTGCCAAGGGGAGTGGCCTCGCTCACCTGGGGAACACAGAAAGATAATAAAATTAAACAATTAAAGCCTGCGGTATCAAGTTTTATGATCAGTGATTAAAATCGTTGGGAACAGAAGATTCTTTGAAAAGGAACTTTCTATTCAGAGGTTTCGTTGACTTAATTACAATGTGATGGTGTTTATAAAAATTATATTTGATTTGGTGGTAAATATTTTGTGGTTTATTTATAAATCATTATTCTTAATCACATTGCGTTATTTGAATGCAAAATATATTTTAGTGAGATCAATTTAAAATATGAAGATGTTTAGAAAATATGTTTTGAATACATTCTTTGTTAAAATTACCTGAAGATTAATGGGATCTTGTGGCCATTGGGGCGCATTATCATTGACATCGGCCACTTCAATCTTCACCGTGATGGCGCTGCTCTGTGGATTATTGCTGGCTGTGGTGTCTAAAGCTCTGATTTCCAACCTAAATTCAGATTGAACTTCTCTGTCCAAGAGGCGAGCCACCACGAGGTTTCCCGAGTGACGATCGATATCGAAGGCGGCCTCAATCAGGTCCTTGGTTAGAGGGTTTAGTGTGTAGGTAACGCGCAACTCCTCGAAGGACTCCTCCACACTATTCCGGATCACATCCGCCGGACGTTCGCTGGGACTGATGGAACCGACCACATGGCCCACAACGGCATCCTCGCGTACCTGCGCAAATACCAATTATAGATTATTTTCGAGCCATATTAAAAGGAATATGGGAGGGGCGGAGGAAAAGAGGAGGATGCTGACTTCTTGGGTCGCTCTACTTGGACCTGGTTGTTGTTCGGCGCGTATCTTAATCTCAACAACAGTGTTGAAAATCCAATCTTAAAGCAATAATTCATACTTCAAGATTACGAAGGCAGCAAACATTTAAAAATTTCATTCCCCCCACCCAAAAAAAGAGAGGCGAACAGAGGAACCAGAATTCTGGAGAGCAAGCCTGTTCAGTCTCAGGTCCCAAGACCCAAGCCCCAACCAATGGCATTAAAAAGAAATTATGCATTCCGACCAAGTTGGCGGCCCCGAAAATCACAGCACAAAAATGTTGTGAGCCATATGAGCAGCGAGTATTGGGGGGAAGGAGTTAAGGCAAAGAAGCTCCGAACAGAAGAAACTCCGCACAAAAATTTAATATGCAAAACCGCAAAAACCGTTCCAAGAGGATCCTCACAAAACAAAAATGGAACAAAAAGGCGAAACAAGAAAGGTTCTTCTCTTCTGCATTGGGTATCTTTTTTCATAAAATAAAAACATTGCAAATATTGTTTGGGTCGCCAAAATGGAGACACAAAAATGACAGTCACGAGATTTATGCCCCGCCAAGATTACGCAGTTGGCTGCCCCAAAAGGGCGGGGGTGAGGAGGGTCATCAGGAGCAGTGCACTCAGAAAAAGTTCTCTTCTTACTTGGGATGCGTAAGTCAAAATAGGTATTCTTTAATTGTTTTCATTTGTATATATTGTTTGTCAGGTTTCGTCGTCTTTTACGTTTCTTAGTTTTAAAGGTACATATATAGATTTAAATGTCGATAAAAATCTAATTTGTAACGCAGCTATCATTTATTTTCCCAATTGTTCTTATGTAGATGGATTTAAATCAAATTACATCCGTAAGGTCGAAAGTTCTTTGATGCCGACTATTTTTTCCTGAGTGCAACGTTAACTAACGACTAATGGAGGCTGCGGTTTGTTCATTTCGGTTTCGGCCAAATTATGCACAGAGCCCAGCCACAAAAATGGCTCATGATTTGTTGTGCACTTTTGTGGCAGGATCTACAAGAACAACGGGGAAAAGGGAATAAAACCCCCAGGGGTCGAAGGAAGGGAGTGCGACTGGTGGGGGGAATTGCTTAATTACATCGGATTTATTTGTGGCAATCCGTCGCTGAGTAATTGGCATCACCCGACGACTTCGTCTTTACGGCGGAGATCAACTCTGTTAGTCCAACGGCAACGCCAACGCAAAAGAACAAAAGCCGACTGAGAATGCGGAGCGGTATCAAAGCGAACGGCAAAAGGCCGACTGAAACGCAACGAAATGTGTCAATTTTAATTGTGGCCGAAGCGGATTTAAGGGACGCACGAGGTCCCGACCTGCAGATCCTCTTGTTCTGCAGTTTTCTGTTCTCTAGAAGATATCCCCCTGCTTCCTGACAGACTGCCTTTGCTCTCCGAGAGGCAATTAAATGCATGTCAAAGCGTCGCAACCATCAGCGGTTGAAGCCGCGTTTCAGTCGGAATTTGAGGATAACTTGAGGATCCGGGGAACCCGGATGACCGGGTACTTGGGAGTAGAGAGTATGCAAAACATGTGCGAATCGAACGTGATAAAAATGTTAAAGGTTTCCCAAGCGAAATGAAGGGAAAAGGAGCGGAGCAGCATGCCAAAATCTAAGCAGTCGAGTTCCACGAGGCACGAGGCGGCTCCTTCTTCAACCTCTTCTGTCCACCGCTTCTCTGATCTTTCAACTGACGTCGCGAATCGCTCTTAATAGGCCTGGGCGAGATCTCCCCCTTTCTGGAGGAGGAGAAGGAGCAGGGGACTTGTCACAGAGCATAGTGACAATTACGCGTGCGCAATGAAAACTCCGACCATGGAGGAGTAGATGTAGTGCACTGTGAAAAACAATGGAGAGGCATACTGAAGCGGTATTAAATAGTGGTCTTTTTAGCCGTATTTTAACCAACGATCAATTCGATTCTACAATTTTGGTCTAAATCAGAACTGGCTTCTTCAGTTTAATTTAGACTTCAGTAATTCGGTTACCAAGAAGTGTTTTTGGCTTAGTGCAAGTTGGGATCTCAGGACTTTGAATGCAAATCGCGACCCTTCCCACGTCTGAGGCACTCTGTGACATCTGCTTCCGAGCTCTTCAAAGGGGCAGGAGTGGGAGCAAAAGTAGGAGGAGGCGGAGGAGGCGGAGGAGGCGGAGGAGGTGACCAGGAAGGGACTATCGGGCAGAGTCGTGTTCTCGACCATTGTCACGTGAGGCTTAAGCTGCGGCTACAAATCATCCGCCGCAACAAAGGCGGCGAGGCAAAGGCACTTGGCTAAAAGCGAGAAAACTGGAAAAGGCGACAAACGCGCTGCTCACGATCGCTGAGAAAAACGGTCGTGTAAAACTAGAAGCGTCAAATAGACAAAAGTTTTCCAGGAATCCAACCGCTTGCTGCTCCTCCAACTCTGTTGCCCCATCTTCATCCCATCCCATCCCGAATTGACCCTTACATAAAGCTGGCACTCACCCTGAAGACCAGGCTGGAGCTGGTAAATGTTGGCCGATTGTCATTTAGGTCCAAGACCTCGACGCGAAGCATCCGCACCGTTTCCCTGGGCGGACTTCCGCCATCAGAGGCGGCCACACCTAATCGATAGATGCTTCTCTCCTCGTGATCCAAAACCACTCGAGTTCGGATCACTCCGCTGCTTGGATCGATGCTAAATAGACCGTGTCCATCGGAGTCGCGACCCTTGACAATCGAATAGGTGATCGAGGCGTTCTGCCCGTGATCTCGATCGATGGCTCGAATCCGCACCACTTCGGTTCCCGGTGGTTGCTCCTCCCTTACGCTAACCACATCCTCCTGCGGATCTGCGATCTCTGGGGCATTATCATTGACATCGCTAACGTGAACGCGAACTGGAACGCGGGCACTTCTCACTGGGGTGCCCTGGTCACGGGCCTCCACCACAAGGTCGTAGAGCTCGCGGAGCTCCCGATCGAGCGGTTCTCGGGTTGTAATTTCACCTGAAAAGGAGGATAGAATTACTTTTATTGCAATCAATGAACAACATTTTTTAGCACTCAATTTTAGTTAAAGTTGGGTTTTGAAGATATAATATATTTTTGGAATATTTGTTAGTTTAAAATTAGGGAACTGGTTTAAGATTTTCGTATTATTATTATTTTGCTATTCTATTTTATGTCGAGGACTTCTTTTGCCTCGATGCATTGTTGCCTCCTAACTGGGTCGGCGATGATTAATGCTCCCGAAAGAAATTCATGTCATGCAAGGTGAGCGGAACCTGTTTGCCAGGATTAGCTGCACGAGATTTCCATATTTAATTTAAATGAGACGAGACGAAGAGGTGTCCCCAATATAGTATGAATACCGCTCGCCTCCAGCGGACACGCACATGGATGAAAGGCGAACTTGGACACGGACAGTGGCTGGATGTCAGGCCAATGATATTCCATTGACGGATGAGCTGACAGCGTTAAAACTGTTGTTGCCCGAACACTAATGGTCAGGCATCGGGCCCCGCGTTTGAGACATAGCCGAGATCTCGGGTATCTCGGCGATCTTATTTTATCGCTTGGCAGGAACAGGTTTGCCATGCGCTTGATCTATGGGCCACTGGTGAAGCAGGAGATGCACAGAACGAAATACACCCGAAATGTATTTTATTTTTAATGTTTCAAAAAGTTTTGGAATAATTTGAGACTATTTTGGTTGGATTATAACACTCATAATAAGAAAGAATAGAGAGAAGGGAGTTTAAATAAATCATGTCTATAAATACATAAAACTGTTATTAAATTTTAAGGAATCTCTAGCAAAAAATTAACCTTTAAAGAAACAAAACACAATATATTAAGAGACTAATGCTTTTCCTTAATAAACAACAAGGATAAGAGTTTGATTTGTTGGGACTGAACTTACAATGCTGTGATATAAATCTATTTAAAAGAAAACAGGTCTTAGTTATCCATATTTTTTTAATGTGTAAGATATGTAAGCTGGATCTCCTTTAGAGTTTTGAGAAGGAGTAATGAATGACCGTGGGTCATGGCTGGTGGCTTGACAGTTACCACCGCCACCGGAGCCGCGTTGAGTGAGTTGTTCGCTGTTAGAGCGGCCTTAATTTATGGCCAAAAGGAAGCCTGACTCACCTGTGACGGGATGCACCTGGAAGCTGGAGTTGGCCGGTAGCAGGCTGTATCTTATGGCCGCATTCTCCCCCAGATCCAGATCGCCGGCAGTTACCACTCCCACAACGGAGCCCCTCCTGAGGTTCTCCTCAATCCTGAATTCGTATTTCGACATCTGGAACTTGGGATCATTGTCGTTGGCGTCAAGAACTCGAACCACAACCCGGGTCTTGGCATGAGCAGCGGGAGTGCCATTGTCCGTGGCCAATACTGTCAGTTGATAGCGGTCCCTGGTCTCCCGATCCAGAGGAGCCCGCAAATATATCCATCCGGAATTGGGGAATATACCAAAATGTTGCGCCACGTCCGAACTGCTTATGGAGTTCGTAACATTGTCGACTCCGGCATCCACAATCCTATATGTGATCCTGGCATTGTTGCCCGTGTCGAGATCGCTGGAATTAACCTGAATAATCTGCAATAGAGAAGCCGAGAGCCAGAAACAAAAGTTAGAGCACTGAATACCAAAAGGGGGAATGCATTAATCATTTGGAACCGAGAGCAATGAGGAACTGGCTGTGTCTGTGTGTCTGTGTACCTGGCAAACCTCTGGAGAACTCGTTTCTGATGCCAAAGATATGAAGTGATTTTATGATCAAACTAGTTAAGGCCGAAGGAACCGAGCCGAAAGGAGCTAAAGGGAGCACAAGCGTAGAGTCTGTGGAGAGGCTGGCACTCGAGAGTCAAAGTCTTTGCTCAAAAGCTGCAGTCGGTAGGAGCTCCTCCTGGGTGTTGAGATATTTCCAACGCGATATGACGGCCGCCTGACAAAAGCGTGACTTTTAGTGGCTGTTAATCAAATTTATGTAGCCCATTTAGTTTGCATTACACAGATTTATTTTTCAATAAAACACCCTCAGCAGCATCCATCGTAATGGAACGGAATCTCAAGCAACAGAAATACTATTTAGGCAATACTTAAATTCATTTGGACTATCTCCTGTAATCGATTCCTTTTAAATAAATGTTTTCAGATCAAAGAAATTGTTTTGTATGCAATATAAATGTTGAAAAATATTCTACAACATTTTTTAGGCCAGTCTAATGGTTTTCCTTTACTATCGATATATATATACATTAATCGTAGAAAATATCTTAATATCTATTATAACTACCTGTGCATTGATGGATCGCGACTCGGAAACATTCACAGAATATTCATCTTTTTCGAATACTGGGGGATTATCGTTGACATCCTGGACATCCACCAATATGGTTAAGTTCGTTGAATGCGACGGAACTCCTCCATCAGTGGCGGTAACAATTAGAGAATGGCGTTGCGAGGTCTCGTAATCCAAATGTTTCGATAAAACCAAATGACCTGATCTAGCATCGATGGCAAAAAGCCTTTTGCCCGAATCTCTGACCAGACTATAAGTAACTTGTCCACTGCTTCCCGAGTCTTTATCATGTGCATGGGCAGCATAAAGTGGAGCTCCCAATTCGGCATTTTCCGGCACTGATATCCTGACCGTACTGGCCTCGAATTCCGGAGCATTATCATTCACATCTTCTACTTCGACGTTAACCTGAGTGTGCCCATAAACGGGAGGTTCTCCCAAAGTGGCTTGGATGTTCAGTAGCACCTGGGATTTGGCCTCATGATCTAGGGGCTTAGCTATACGAATATTTCCAGAGCTGGCTTCTATGCTGAAATAGCCATCGGGATCACCGGAGTAAATTGAATACCTCACAGGACTGCGCTGGGCTGTAATTTAGAAACAAAAAATATGTTAGCAAAATAAAGTTATAATACATCATAATGGGAAGGAAAAACAAGACTAGGGATACTAATGAAAATTTATAAATATATTAAAAAAACAGATCTAAAAATATTATTTTCCTAACTAAATGCTAATATAATTAGCTCCTGCCTTTTTTTTCTTTGTACATATTTCTTCTTTAAAGCATAATGAAAGAATTCACGGGATCGTTCTCACCGGGTGATGAAAGAGGACTGCAATTATTTCTGCCTTATTCTTCTTATTCAGGAAGTGGAGTTAAGGGAGCTCCGAAATACGAAATTAGGAGCCGTTTCTGCTCATTTAAAGCCATTCAAAGGCCTTGACAATGAGTTGCAGGAACAATAGAACTGTTTTGGAGGAGCGGGGTAAAATCAGGAGAAGGAGGACTCGTCACCGGTTGACACATGAGGCAGGTTAGACTGAATGGGGCACCACATATAAAGCATGAGGCTTGAAAGGAAGTGCACAGCGAAAGCAGCAAATTAAAGCGCAAAATCATTTTGCATAGCCAGCGACGATCGTGGCGATCGTCTGGGATTCCGACTTGGACTTTGGGACTGTGGGGCTGGAAATGGAACTGAAAACGGCCCTTGTATCGTGCTCAGAGTTCAGTTCAACTCGATGACGAGAACGTCGTTGATGGGTGCAGATTTCTGCCGAAATTTACGTTTGAAGTGTTTTGCTTTGCCTTTGTTGCCGAGCTGAAAAGACCCGAAAAGACTTCAACTTGGACTAAATGTGTGTGTTTGCTGATGCTGCATTTGGATTTCGTGCGCTTTAACTTTTAAAGAGAATATTTAAATTTAAAAAAAAAAACTTCACCACTGAAAATTTTTCTAGGGGAATGCGCTGCACAAAACTTAAGTAATTCTAAGGATTCAGGGGTAGATATATTTCTTACCTGTATCTCCACTCGTGGCTATTACCGAACCCACGACCGTGCCCTTCGGGATGTCCTCCTTGACATAGTAATTGTATCGGGTCTTTTCGAAGATCGGAGGTCGCTGCATGGCATCGATGATGCTCAGAAAGACAACTGCATCGGCATTGCTACTTAAATTACCGCCGTCAGTGGCCGAAATATTCAGCATGTGCATGGGTTGAGTTCGAACGGACAGCATATCGGGGCGAGCCACGAAAATCTCACCAGAGGATCGATCGATCCGGAAGATTCCCGCCTCATTTCCGGCCACAATCCTGTACGAAACCTGGCCAAAGATGCCCGAATCCGGATCTGTGGCCACCACAGCGACAATTGGGGCACTCGAGGCTTGAGATGGGGCATTTGAGGATTCCCTTAACGACACATTGTATTCTCTGGGATAGAAAACCGGACGGTTGTCGTTCACATCCGTCAGTTGCATTTTGATCATGGCGGTGGTGCTTAAGCCCCCTCGATCGGTAGCCAAGACGGGAAATTCGTAGCTGCTTCTCCGCTCGAAGTCAAGTTTACCGGCTATGCAAATCTCCCCAGAGGCGGAGCGTACTTCAAACTCGGTGAGGTGCTTGAAACCTTCACCTAGGGTGTAGTTTACCATGGCGTTTACTCCACAATCCGGATCGCTGGCAGAAACCTAAAAAACAGAAAATAAGAGAAGTTAATATGGTTGGGCTTATATAAAGACGATTTTCAATAAAATTGCCAGACCTAACATCTAAAGAAATTGGAGGCATATTGTTATGGATTGCACATTCCAACAGGTACAAATGAAGTTGTCAAAATTTTAATTTGATTTACAGGCAGCTGCTGCCGTGGGTTTTTCGGCCTCCGTTTCGGAGCTTATCTGCGGACACTGTTCAGGGCTTAATTTGGCAATTTTTTATGCTTGGGATCGAGTTGGAGGCTCTCCGCCCCCGAGGCGGCATATCAGGCGAGTGTCAACTTAAGTTTAAGCAAAAGACCCGGGGTGACTCACTGGTGGAAAGGTTGCAGATCGGGGAAAAACGGGAGCAATGACCCCGCTTAATGACAGCCAATTAGTTGACATTAATCGAAATTTCTGTTCGCTGTCTGTAAGGCAAAGAAAAGGAGCTGGGAATGGGTATGGGAATGGGGATAGTGTTTGCTTAAAAATAGCCAAGCAGCGCGGGTGCAGGCATCGATTGCATTTTGACGCCAATAAACAAGCGAAGAAATCAGCAATTAAAACTGTCCTTATTTTACTTTGAATAGGAGGCAGAGGAGGCCAGAGGAGAACGTAACTCCATTCAAGACAAGTTGCAAAACAAACGAATAAAGTCCAATTGTGAGAAGGGGGAGGCACACTGGAAGAACAAGGGCTTTTAATTAAAAGAAATCATCAACGTTTTGTAAAAACTTATTGCAAGTCAATTTAAAAAAGGACAAAATCGATCTTAGCTAAAGTTTTATAAAAAAGTATAAAAAAAACTTTTGCAAAACTAAATGGTCAAGATAAAAGGGTGGCAAATTCTTCAGAACCAGATCATTTTCATGAAGCAAGTCCCAATTAAATCTTAAATAAATGCGAATTTTGTAGAACAAAAGGATTTAACTAAGAGAAGTATTCTTCTCATGGCACCGGAAGCTAAAAATTGAACTCAAACTTATTATACCCGTTACTCGTAGAGTAAAAGGGTATATTGTATTCGTGCAAAAGTATGTAACAGCTAGAACGAAGCGTTTCCGACCCTATAAAGTATATATATTCTTGATCAGGGTCACTAGCCGAGTCGATATAGCCATGTCCGTCTGTCCGTCTGTCCGTCTGTCCGTCTGTCCGTCTGTCTGTCCGTCTGTCTGTCCGTATGAACGCTGAGATCTCGGAAACTATAAAAGCTACAAGATTGGCATTTTGCATGCAGATTCTAGGAGTTCCTACGCAGCGCAAGTTTGTTTCAAAAAGGTGCCACGCCCCCTTTAACGCCCACAATCGCTTATATACGATTTTAAAAATTTAAATATTTCGGAAAAGTAAAAATGCAGTTTTATTGTGTTTATCAATACCTATCGAAATGTAGAAGAAATTTTTCAAATCGGACCATTCGTTAAAAAGTTATGCGTGATCAAAGTTTCTATCTCCATCTCCCTCGCACTCCCTTTACCTGAGTAACGGGTATCTGATAGTCGGGGCACCCGACTATAGCGTTCTCTCTTGTTTTTTTCTTTGTGTAGTTCCAGCCCTTCCCCAGCCCGTCAGTTTAGAGTCCAGACTGATATGCATTTAAAGCGAAACGTGTCCAGGTAACCCAGCACCCAGTTGTTGGGCTCCTCTCGTTGAGTTTCAGCGCTAATTACACTTTTTGTAAGTCTGGAGACTGGGAGATCTGCTTAGATTGTTGCTGCGACTAAAGACTTTCATTAAGCTTAGTTGGGCAGCAGTTTAAACCCGTTTAACCCAGCCGGTGAAATTGTCGCCAGCCAAATGGACGGGGGCAGAAAACTGGGACTGGGATTGGATATGGGATGGGACGTCATCAGTCCAGAGATTGGCAATTTTATCTGTCAACAACATGAAAGTTCTGTGTGCAACTGTTTTCGGATCGAGGGACGTGAAGACCTAAAAAAGAAGGCGGTTAGGGTCGGTGCTAAAAAAATGCACGCCCACACGAATCGAAGAGGATTCAAGGATCGTGGGCTTGGAATAAAAATGGTGGAAGATCTGCACTTAAAAAAAAATATTATGTCATTTGTTAAATTTAAAGTACGAACTTTCAAACTTTTTTAACTCTTGACAGTGACGCCACCTCCTTATAGTCTAACATAGTTTTCTGTAGCATAATTATTTATTTATAAAATGGAAAATGAGGGGCCACCTTTTACTCTGATTTATTTTTAGTGTTATCTGAACACTGATAAGTTGAAGAGCGACCAGAGGACAGCTTCCTTTGGCTTGCGGTTATGTCAACAACAGAAACAGGCAGCGGTGAAGCCCCAAAGCAAAGTGACAGCCTTCAGGCACCCAAAAATACAAAATAAAAATACAAACAATTCAAGTTCGTTTGCCAACTCTCTTTTCATATATGTGAGAAGTGAAGAAGTCGAGAGTTATTCATCTTTGTCAGCACGCATTTCTCACACTCTCCTGCAGGTGAAGATGCTAAAACGGGGATGCAGGGGCAGCATTCAATGACCAATTATGGCCTAACAAGGCCTCCAATTCCGAATGAGACTCGAAACTCCAAACGACAGAGCTTCTGCTGCTTCGGCTGCTGTTGATGTATGCAAATAAGCTGTCAAAAGTAATTTCATTCAATTACCTTATTTAACGTACAAAAACCAAAACGAGCAAAGGCACAGCCAAGGCAAAAGATATAGAGAAAAAATTGAAAGAGAGAGGGTGACGGGAGTTCGCTCAAACCAAAGCAGTTAACAACAAAAGGATGAAGATGATTGCTGGAACAGAATGTTCCTTAGCATCCATGCGGATGTTCGTGGTTGCAGTTTAATTAACACTTGTGCACTGAGAATCATGTGTTCTAAAATTTAAGAAGTGTTCATAAAGCATGTTTTTTAATATCTCCTTCAACTGGATTGTAAACTTATTCGACTTGACAAAATATTTAAACCATTTATTTTAATAAATTTTTTATTAATCAAAATCAAAACATATATTCTGCGACAAAATGTCGCATTGATTTGAAAATATTACAATATTTTAAACAAAGGACAAATATTTTTCCGCAGTGCTAAAGGCGTAACATAAGCAACAGAGCCAAGTCACACCACAGTTCTGGCTAATAGAAGTTGGCCAAATGTCGGTCGTGTCTCTGGCGCGGATTATCACCGAATAGAGTGGAGTGAGTGGCACAAACTCAAGCTCGGAGTCTCTGAATCCGAGGCCAGCGAGCAGTTTTTGATAAGACATCCATGGAGCAGGGAACTTTCAGACTGAGACTGTGAAACTCTGGGCCTCTGAGACCAAATTTAACATTGCGAATCGCAGCGTGCGGCAGCTTGCATATTTCTTATGCAATTTCCGGCAGATGTGGATGATTTAGCTGGCCCCGCCGAACGCTCAATATGAAATGTGGCTGATGAGAAATGGCTACGTGCTCACAAGTGCCGGGTCCGACTTTATTTTTTATTTCGCCTGTTAGTTAAGGCCCTTTTCAGAGGCCCCTCCTAACACACGACTCAATAATCGTCATCAATCCCCTGCCAATGCCAATTCGGTGTGAAATCCAATACATCCATCCCAATTGAGGTGAAGAAAGTGTTTTCTATGTGGGCGTCGTCGCTAAGGTTTCAGTGTTCCATTCCATGTTAGATACGCGCAGAAAGCGTAAAATGGTTGTGGTCTTAGAAATTATCACTCTCCCCACACTGGTATAAATATGGATGTATTTTTAATTTTCAACAGAATATTTTCATTCCACTTCATAGGAAAATATTTGTCTCTAACAACACTTTTATATTTTATACTATTTGGAAAATCATTATTTTCTCTGTGCACCTTTTGCACCATACTTCCTTTTTTATCTACCAGGTGATTAACCGCAATCGAATTAGTTATAAAGACATTCAGCTGGCGGAGGCCTCAGTAATAAAATCGTCTGCGGCGTGTGAAGATTTCACACTTTTGCCTTGATTAGTCACGGACTTCCCAACTCCCCGAACTCTTCGATCTTTTTGCGGGGTCTCCAACATGGCAGCTGATTTATGTTGACGCCTTATCAGGGCCCCTCAATATTTATTGCAATTTTTATAAATTATTTTTTCGCTCTTTTAAGAGATGCGCGCTTGCGCGTAGAGCTGAAGATTTATATGTGAGCAGATGTGATGGGAAGGCACCACCGGGAAAGTGGTGCAACGAGGGGCGGGGATCGGGGGGCGTGGTGGTCCAGCGAAAGGTGGGAACGATCTATTTCTGTTTATTTTTCTGCGGCTGAGGTTGATTTTTCCCCTGTTTCTGTTGTCGCTGTGCATCGTCAAACACCAAAAAGCAATTCTAACAGTTGTTGCACCGCTGCAGCACCACTGCAGCACCACTGCACCACCGCTGTGCCGCTTGTCGTGTTATTAGGAATTTTTAATTTTCCGGTATAGATTTCTGACTTGCTCTCCGCTGCGTTCTCTTTGCTATAATGTTTTTTCAACACAGAGAAAAAATGATTGAAAAGCGCAGATTCGTTTTGGTGTATCATCATATAATAGTCCAAAAGTCATAGTAATCTGAATGATTTATAGGGGTTTTGCCTCTTTCTACTGCCTCAATGAAATACAAATTCATTTGGTTCATTTGGTATTTCCAATTTTTTTTGGCAATTCTTCTGATGATATAATATCTTAAAATATTTTTTTTTAATTTTTTGGCGTAGTGCAGTTCTTATTTATGTAGTTTTCAACCAGCACTGTGCTTCACCTTGTCTTTGAGTGGTGCAGTGGTGCTGGGGCATCATCAAAATGCATCTAACAAGGTTGTTAGGTGTTAAATAAGTGTGCTTAAAAATTTATCTTGTACATTTCTTCCTTCATTTGATTTATGTTTGGTTGGCACTTGGCTGCAGCTGTCTTCTTAGCCAATGCCCATTACCCCGATGCCACGCCCCCTGCCTTACGGTTACGTTTACGGTTCAACTTTTGAGACTGCCTTTCCCTCAACTCGGAGATTCA